CGGGCCAAAATGCCAACCGGCGACTTTTTCATAAAACAACCCATTATACCGTGATACTCAAAATCTAACACATAAATACGAAGACGTTTTATATTATGCTCAACTTGTACATTATTTTCTTATAGTCTAATAAAATTAAATAACATATTATTACGAAATATAATGCAATAGGCAGGTAATAGACGCATATAAATACCTACATAGTACTGACACGATGATTGTTTCAAAGTTCAGTCTATGTGTAGGTTTGTACCTACCATTTTTATATTTGTCATTTTTTTTTTACTACATAAGTATGTACATGTGTGTATATACTATGTGGAGTGATTTTTTTGAAACTTCAGCCTCCTGTATAGCACATTACCAGACGTATCTTTTGTTAAATAAACCACTCCATATGATATATTATATACATATATTTTTCTAGTACATAACCATATATACCATATACCACTGTATTAGCTTAAAAATAAAATTGATTGTTCTTTATGTATATACTTGTGAAGTACTGTGAAATATTACTAATATAATTTTGAATAGTAATACGTGCGCATGCATATTTCATAGCGTGTAGGTACAGCTGTCTAACTTTTGTATTCAATTTTTTTTATCATTATTTTTATCTATACGTACTTAAATAATCACTGAATAAAAATACGGTTTTAATTTATATATGGTTTTTATAATATCATACTGCTATTATAATAGTTATGGTGATCTTATTATATTAATACATAATATTATGTCTAGGACCGGCACAAGGCTAAATTACACCTCGGGCCAAAATGCCAACTGGCGACTTTTTCATAAAACAACCCATTATACCGTGATACTCAAAATCTAACACATAAATACGAAGACGTTTTATACTATGCTCAACTTGTACATTATTTTCTTATAGTCTAATAAAATTAAATAACATAATGTTATTAGGAAATATAATGCAATAGGCAGGCAATAGACGCATATAATAAATACCTACATAGTACGGACACGATGATCGTTTCAAGGTTGATTGTGGTCCGGTCGAAGCGTTTGGTTAGGATTGAGGTGATGAAAAAAACACAACACAAACACTTTAAGGATGTCACAGATTATGTACTAAATAATAATATTATTACGACCAAAATATAATAATACATGACGCGCCGCTCGGGCAAACGAGCCGGACGATCAGGGCCTGATTTACCAATTTATGGGCTATCATAAGCTTCTCCAAAATGAATTTAAACGATTCAAATGTACTAAACGAGGATGCACAGCTTATTTAAGAATTTGTAAAAACGAAAATGTTGTATGGGAATCGTTCAATATTAATCATAGCCTCAATCCAGATGAGGAAAACAAACTTGAACGCCAAATTATTAGTAACGTATTATTATTTGACGTATATATTTGGTTCACCATTTCTAGATCCGCAATCAGTCGGTGATTGCTTTTCATTCGAACTAGCTGAGATACAACCAAATAATGAAAAAATTATAAAATTTATGGTCTACTTAGTTGAAAATTATATTGAAAATAATTCTTTATTTTCGCCTCACATTTGGGCAGAAAAAAGCAGTAGTGTCTGTCGTACAACTAATTCATGTGAATCTTTTCACTCTAAATTTAATTCCCAATTTAGTTCTCCGCACCCATTTACAGTTTCTTGGATATATTGTATGGTATTCAAGCGGATACTGAAATTATAATAAGAAGCTCCAAAGTAGAAAGAACACACAAAAAAAAATTCAAGAAAAAATACAATTTATAGACAGTCAAATTCAGAAATATGACAATGGTATGGTATCAAGATTTGAATACATAAAAATTCTTGCAAACAAATTTAAGCCTTCTAAATAATATTAAAACAGTGCAGGTCAGTGAATATTTGTATATTAAATTATAGTACATAAATACCTATTATGTATACCTAATATTGTATATTTTTATTAAATTATTTTTTATTAATTTTATTTTTTGTTATTATTTTAATTTATTTTCAAACAACTTTGATTGACTATTAAATGCAATATTTGTATTTTAAATTAGTTTTATGTATAGTTTAATTTATTTTCCAACAATTTTTATAACCAATGAATTTATCAAATATATGTCGAGGGGGCCAACTCAATGCATAAATCTAGGGAGCCAATTCAATACATAAAAATATCATTTACCTATGTTCGGGAGCCAAATCAATAGCACCGAGTTGCATATACCTCTATACGTAGTACTCATATGAGTAGTTAGATCATAGAATAAATTTGTATTGTTAAAAATTTGATTATTTGATATACAAGAACACTTTCAATGCGTCTTATATAATTAATGTTTAATATTTATTCATGTAAGTATACAAATTAAAAAGCAAACGTATTTTTGATTATTACACTTATACCTCTATATCAAAGTAAAAGTTTTTAAGTTTAATTTTTTAAGTCAAATTTGATTTCAGCTAATCAGCTTTTACAAACATTTCGATTGTGCCCTATATTGTAAATAAACTACTTCTATACGTAAATTTATCTAAACTACCGTGTACTTTTTTTGTTTCTTCATCTCGTCTATCCTTTAATTTTCTATTCATTGAACCAATTATGTATTTTGTTGACAATTTAAATTTATTATTAAAAATAATAAACAAATGACGAACAGATATTATACAATAAATACGACTGACGTACCTACCTATATCACGTAACAACGCAATAGTAATATTACGATAGTAAGGGCAATTAGATTTTGTTGTCCTTTTCAGGGAAAATTCATTATACTTTATAACCGGCCGAAATATCCAAGTAAAATCCAAATCTATTTCGTTTTTCCAAAGTATGATGAAACGATATAATATAAATAATTAATATTTTGTTTGCCTGAAGTCGGTGTGCCCCTGTTTTTGAGTGGGCCCAGTGCAAATGTCCGCCATTTGTCCTTGCATAAATATGGCACTGCGGACGATATGTTATCGGTCCGACGGTGGATCTCGGAATCGCCTTTTCCGCCGACCGTCGTACGCGACACAGTCCCCCCCGCCCCGTCTTGCCGTTACCGGCTCGGCGGGAGAGTCAACCCGGTCGCGCTGCTTGCATACCGTGGTGGTGGTAACATGGTAATGGTCGTAAGATGGACTGGTCGCTGTAGTGCTGGTACATTGTACTGGCTACTGACGCGGGCCGCGTCATCTCTTGCCGACCGTTAAGCCGGATTCACAGCTGCGTCGTGTGTCGTGTCGTGTCGTGTCGATGAGTCGATCGTATTGTGATTGGATATTACTTTTTTAGTATCATGTAATAACCAAGGCGCAACCGAGTATACCAAGAATTGACTACTGCTCAACTTTTATACCATATTGGTTACCAGTCGTAACCATATAATAACCAAGCCATCGCACGACACTGCACACGGCGTAGCTGTGAATGCGCCTTTAAGGGGGGTTCACACTACACCTTGTCGTGTAAAATAATCACGGTTACCACAGTTACCAAAAATACCACATAGTTGAATATATTCAACTTTTGACCGTGTGGTTACATTAAGTATGAACCCGGCTTTATCTG